GGGGGAATTTTTGGGGGGGGGGGCCCCCCCCCCCCCCCCAAGTGTAACTTCGCCCGAGCGACTTCCATCTTATGGGACGAGATAATACACCGGGTATTTTCGAAAAGTTTCCGCCTCCCTAGGTCCACGTGTTCGCATAGAACGGAAATTCCTGTTTTCGGGGAGGGTTCACTTTTTTTCGGTTCGATTTTCGCTCGGGTACTTCTCGCCGATCGGAAAAAATTGCCCGACGCGGCCATGCGACTCTATATCTGTGGCAACGACGTGCGAAATCTCGGACGTGCAATTATCGCGCTCTCGGCGCCTATGTTCGCGAATTCCCGCCGTGATGTCTCGCTAAAAATACTCGCCTTGCGCGCATATATCAGTCTGGGCTGCACAAGGTCATTGATCCTAATGAGCAGACGCACAGGTCAATTTTTACTTCCTGCTGGGGAAATTCTGTGCCTCCTCCGCCAGCCGTGACGATTAAACCTTTGACTGCACATTCCTGAAAAGTCGCCCGCCCCGCAAACAGGGTCATATTGACCTTGTGTGTGATTTTCTAAATTTCATATTTGCAAAATTGTAAAAAGAAAGGCTGACAAAATTCTAGAATGAAATGTAACTCTTCCACTTTAATGTTTGATCTTTCGTACAAAGTCAAGTTTGAAATTATTGAGAAAGATTCGAATTTAGAAAGTGGTGGAAGAAGTGGTTTTCGGTAGTGTTTTATTTATTTGTAATTTCTTTATTTTTTATTATTTGGATCTGCAACTGTAGAGCGATAAAGTTGAAAGATAGTTCTAAAATATTTCTTTTTTTTGGACTACTGAAGAAAGGATATTTTGAAGTGTTGAAAATAAGTATTTTCACGGGGAGAAAATATTTTTGTTGTGAAAGTATCAGAAATAGTTTATTTTTTTACTCGCAAAATACTAACATACATTGTTCAAAAAAATTATAAATAATTTAGGATCGTTTTGTAGGACGCACTCGCGTATATTACACGCCATTTTCAGTAAAAAATCATTTCACTTGTGATGTCAAATGCATCGACCGCACATCATGGGTTTAACTGACTCTACGTCAAATTTGGATGACTTCCAAACACGCATTAATCAGCTTATCAGAACTGTGCCGCATCTAGCGGACAGAGCGACTCTCTAATGATTTTTCAAGAGTGGGGAGAACTCATAGATCATGCATTTCGCTCTATAGCTCTTCAAACACATCTCACCGAATCTACCTGATTCATAATGCGGTCGAAGGGTTAAGAATATTAACACTTCGCCCACGGTACACGTAATAATGCGCTTTATATGGAACGTAACGTTACCGGGATGGGACTTATAGTTCTCGTTTTTACACACAGACCGCTATTATGTATTGGTAGATACTTTGGGTTAATTATTATCTATATTTGTTACCACGTTCTTTATCAATGTCATGCATATGAAACATTGTGTGGTGTGCATATATAAAATATTAAATTTGTCTGTTAAATGTTTTATGTGTGCATTATAAATGCAAATATATACTGTATTAAGTATAGCTGCTAAAAATATAAGTGCGCTAGTGAACGTGTTAATGTATAAAACCACCCTTTAGGCGACCCTTTCAAAAGTTTACTAGGATTTGCACGCTGCAGGCCAAAGTGTCAGCGTATTAACCCTCGTCGGCGAAGTGTTGGCGTAGCGGGGAAAAATATAATTATTGGGATACAAGGGTCAGTTTCGAGGGAAGGTTGGTTAGCCGCGCACGTTGAAAGTCCGGGAAAACTCCTCTGCACGTGCGTTATATATACGGTCAAACGTTATTATCCTCCAACAGAAATTTAATTTAACTCGCACTAATATCCAGCGACCCGCTCCTATTGGCCATTTCTCTCTCTCTCTCTCTTTTTCTTCGATTAAGAATAATTCCAACTGATCATTCCGTCGCACCTATTGCTAACTGTCACGCATTTCGTTCATTCTCCAATAAAAAGCGTCAATTATGCATTTCATATCGTTAAAAATGACGCGTGGCGTTAATCTTTATGAGCCCGTTTATATCTAAAACGGAGATTTCTCACGTGGCCTTAACGTTAAACAAATCTTCTTTCATTGTAGGCCGCCTGTGAGCTTCCGATTACCGCCCGCTGCGAAAAAACCGCTCTGCAAAACGAACAGGTAAGAAGAATTACGTGCACGCACGATACCTGGAGTTGGAACTTGGTTCTACATTTAACCTATGAGTGGACAAGAGTCGCCTATTGACAATAAAGTATTTTTATGAATTCAGAATGTCGCATATATATAGCTAATTCGTCAAATCTGACATAGGATCATCGTACACTGAAAAACGGTCGGTATGCTTTCCTTGCACAAATATTTCACCTGAATTTTCTTGATTCAACTTGACTGATCTAATCTGATATAATATAATTACTAAATCGCACATTTGCGACTCTCGTCCTTAAAGGGCAAAGGCTTTAACCTTGTAAGTTCCATTGAATTCGAAAGATTCTGGAATATCTCGAGATATATTATAAAAGTTAATGTTTCTTGATACTACTGATGGTTATTTATCGCCACTTTGTTGAAGCTCAAGAAGGACTTAAAAATTATTTAATGTTAAAAATGATTTAAGATTCGATTATCTCTTTATAATCTATCTGCATTTAATCGTTCTTAATTCAATAAGTTATAGTAACAATAATATTGATTATGTAACTTACTCAACCGAAATAGAATATTACGTTAAGCAAATATTAAATAATTTAATCAAAATTAAAATAGGAAAGTGGACAAATACAAATTTCCTTTTTTCGTAATCTCATTATTATCTTTTTCTTGGCGTTGAAAATTTCGATAGTATTTGTAGATTTTAACGAGACGAAAGAAACAATTGTGAATCTCGTCGTCAATATCCTACGTTCTACTATCCATCCTGAAGTTAGCTCTCGATCATTATCGTGGCCAAGCCTCAATATTGTCGTACGAAAATCCGAACCGATCGGAAATGCGGCGTTAATTGCACTTTGCACTTAAAAACGCCCTAATAATGTGACAATTTCATAATTTTGACAATTTCAATAATTTGACTATCTTATAAATCTGGGAAGTTTTGAGAACGAAAGTCTTGTTGTAATTTCACGGCCACCGAATATATTCATCATTAATTGGCGGACAACGACGGCTGATGATAGAGGTGACTTTGTCGTTTTTGTATATTAGTATATTGGTATATTGGTATATTAATTTGATATTTTCGTATGTCGCGTACATGTCCGTGACGTTGTTACATATCTGGAGTCGACGAACTACGCGAAACACGTGTATCTTGTACATTATTTACAATTTTCGCCGAAGACGAATAAAATTCTTCGCCAGCTCTCTTGAAATATTGAATCGCGCACTTGGTTCTCGTCAACATCGCGTTAGTTAACACAATTTTTCCGATCGATTCTTATCTGTGCGAGTATTACTGAATGCCTGTGTGACGATACAGCTAGGAATAGGATACTGAGTCGAGAAATCGGGACGGAGGACGACGAGACGTGTGCAGCGATACATCATGTGTCTCGAGGTGTATGAGAAGATTTGTTTTACAAAAAGTTCCGTTTTCAACGGACATTCGACGAACTTTTGCGTAAATAAAGAAATACCCGAGTTGAAATTTAGGCCGGCATTTACATAATCAGTCACCGTTTGACAAATAATTATAGCTTCATGAATTTCCGATTACTCGTCAATCTGTACGTGCACTCGTTATATTATTTCATAGAAGAAACGCGTTGATTCGAACAGCTAAATAGTTGCCATGAATACGAATCGGTTATTAACTATGTTTCCAATCAAAGATCCTAAATAATTCACGGCTGTGAATACCGGCCTTAGAATTTAGTGTAAATTTCGCAAGTATTAATTTTTGTATCTATAATGCTCCTTTGGCCTTGATTACAATCTTGTTTACATCTGCTAATACTTTGTTTTTATTTTTATTTAGCCGTATTATTGTACGGAATCTCCAAATTTAATTCTCTTTAGTATGAAAAGAACAGCATTATTGGGCACGCAACTATTCTGTGCAAGCCTTTATTACCTTTACCCCTATTTCCTTATCAACATTGTTAAATGTTTTAAATCCCACTGAGACCTTCAATGCCGGAAAAAAGAAAGATAAATTATGAGAATAAAAATATTCTCTTTCTTTCTTTTTTATCCATTCATTAATTTTTATTAGACTATTCAATATTTGCTCATATCCTCTTGCATATTTGCAATTGAGTAGCTTACATAATTGGTATAACGTTAATTGAAAGTATGCACAAGAATTAAATGTAGGTGCAAAAAATGATGGATCGATTTTTAATTAAAAAGTATAACATAAATTAAACGTGTAATCTTACGTAATCTTTTTGGTCGCTGAATAGGATGGTACATTTTCATTCGTTTAAAACTATGGGAAACTGGTTAAAATTAGTTTAAAAAGGGTCAAAATAAGTCATTTTTAATAATAATGCGGTTAATGGCGATTTCGTTCTAATTAAAATTGAATATCTTTTTCAACTTTTATATCATATTGACTTCATTATGTTAAATTTAGCATTTCTGAAGTGTTTTTTTTTATTTTCAATGAAAAAAATATAAGATTAATGTGTAATACAAGTAATTAAATAATTGGAACAAAATTGTCGCTAACCGCACTACTATTAAGAGATTTATCTCGAATCCTTTAAGAAAAATCTTGATCATTTTCCTACGTCTTCAGATGAATATAAAAATACTACCATTATATTCAGCGACTTAGAAAACACAAGATTCCATGCATAATTTAGATTGCACTTTTTAAGCAGAAATCGGCTCATTTGACCCATCTTCCTTTGTGAACAATCGAATATTAACACATTAAGGGCGGGAGTCGTAGTACTACGATTTAGCTCGACTGCGGCTTAAAGGCGGGAATCGTAGTAATACAATTTAGCTCGACTGTACCTTAAAGTTTTTATGATCACACAAAATATCGCCCGCCGTTAATGTGTTAACAACTCTGAAATAAATCTTTCTTCAAGACTCAACACAAAGAGAGAGAAACGGCAGTAAATATAACCATGGCAGTTTCAAGTGTCGAGAGTATCGACCAGTCAGTATCAACGGCAGTTTACATCAAATAGGACAACAGCTTGTATAACGTTGTGGATCTCGAGATTCTTCATTGGTACTTCGAGTCGACGGGAATTTGGAGGGTTAATATAGAACCGAAATTTCGACTCAGGGTCGCTCGATAAACCACGCGGTATCCGAGCGGAAACGATCGGCCGATCGACAAATTATTGCGTAGTTCGGCGTCGTGTAGCGACGACCATTTTTGCATTCACGAGAGGCATTTGCGCGCCTCTCACGAAACTCTGCCTGTTCTTACGCCGCGTACACCTGTCGCGCCGTCCACGAACAAAACCGCGAGTTCCGGCGAGACGACGTGGATGTGTGATCCTCCGCGAGACGGTCGCGGCACTCGCATTAATCCGCCGCGAGAACCCGGCTAGTCTGCGCGCTTCAAAGTGCTTCGTAAGTACGGCCTCGGTCGACCGAACGTAGTCGCGGAACAATAGCTAGAGATACGAGTACACGAGTTCCCCGAATACACTTTAACCAGATTACATACGCTCCGGATTGCGAGAACCCGCCCGTCGTTTTATGTACACGCACGCGCTCTCTATAACTGGAGAAATACTCGCGAGCTTCAAGTAAAGCCGCTTTACTTCTTATCCGCCGGTGATTCTCGGTAAATTATTGGATTCCGCAATGGGACTTTAACATTAGTTGTAACAATATCCTATTATAACTAATTAACGCGATCGCGGTGCCGATCTTGTAGCTTCGACGTACGCGCGCGCGATTCATCGATTAACGTTGACTCTCTGTGAATCGAGTCTCGAAGGTTGCGACTTTTTCCGGCCTCCGATCAGTCTAATCGACGATTTCAAAGCGCCATTTCTCGTTCTCGGTCGAACATCACCCGCCTTGTTTCGCTAAATTAGACAGATTGAAATAATGATCTCCTGGCCGTTGCCGGATCGACAGAATACACGTTAACATATAATGTTAACGTTGTCAATTCTACCGGTCTAAATTGATTAGCTTAATCAGAAGTCGCTCTGACGTTCTCCTCGCCGTGTTCCCAAAGTGCCGGCCAATTGGGAAGAACAATAGAAAATTAACGGGCAGGAGCGGCAGAATTAATAACGAGTCGCACCGACGAGCGGATTAACGAAGAACTAAATCAGCCGGCCGCTGCAATCCACATTATCAGAGGGGACGTTCGAATCTGTCGCTGCGATATTGCCTCCCCGTCGATAACGAATGTATAATGTATCGAGAGGCAGTACGGCGCTAAAATATCAGCGAATATCGGATTCGGTAAACATCGGAGAATGGTTCTAGCGTTAACGATATTATTAGGCGTTGCGTTACCCGCGTCCTCGTCAATGGCTCGAGAGAGGGAGAGAGGCATGGGGAGGGGGACGGGGTTAGCTCCGTGTATCGATACCCTTGTACATTTACTCCCGTTCTCTTCCTCCGTCCGCCTTCTATCCTGCTCTATCTTCATATATTTTGCTCTTTACGAGCGGTCGATCATAAATTTTTCAAAGTGCGTCGTGAATGCCTACGGTGAAGGGCTACTCCGCGAGCACGGAGAGCGTAACGATCGCGTTGCTCGCGCTCTCCTCGCGTTAACCGATCGCGAGACATGGCGCAATATTCGCGTGAATTCAACTCTCTCTCTCTCTCTCCCTCTTTCTCTTTCTCTCTCTATCATTCCGCGGGCTCTAAAAATCGCGAGATACGCCAAGATTGCGAGAACGAACGAAATAATACGCGATAAAGTCTCTAACTTCTCCGTGAACGGCGTCGGGGCGCGGCAGTGAAAGTATACGGTAAAAGGTACGGACGGTTTAACGGTACCGTAAAGCGCCCGCTTGTCTCCCCGCGACAGCTTACGGTCTCTCGCGAGCGGGGCATTAGAAACATCCTATTTGTTAGTCGCGCGCGCAGAGAGGGAGAGAGAGAGAGAAGTCATGAGATAGATGGAGTGTGGTGAGGGAGACTGCGTTTATCGCGCATAAATCGATTCGCCGTAACGTTACGCTGGCGGTGCGTTAGGCGTGCGCGGGCAAAGTTGAAAT